AGGAAGGAAGGAAGGAAGGAAGGAAGGAAGGAAGGAAGGAAGGAAGGAAGGAAGGAAAAAATAAGTTCTGAAAATGCTAAGGAACCAAGAGGGTGGCTCATGCTTTAAACCCAGCAGCAGGAGGCAGTTAAGTAGATCTCCTGAGTTAGACACCAGCCTGGGTCAGTTCCAGGTCAGCCCAAGCTACATGGAGAGACCCTGTCTCACAAAACAAAACATAACAAAACAAAACAAAACAAAATGAGGGAGTCTTTAACTAACAAGGAGAATTATGTTAAACAAAAAGAAAACATTGTAAAGGATTTTAAAGGGAAAAGTAAACATAAAAACAAAAACAACCAGGGCAATGGTGGCTCTTCCCTTTAATCTCAGCATTTGGGAGGCAGAAGCAGGCGGATCTTTGTGAGTCCAAGGATCTTTGTGAGTCCAAGGCCTGGTCTACAGAGCAAGTTGCACGACAGCCAAGCCTACACAGAGAAATCCTGTTTCTAAAAACAAAACAAAGCTCTTTCAAAGGACTGGGGTTCAATTCCCAGCACCCATGTGGCAGCTCAATGACACCTTCACACTAATGCACATAAAATAAAAAATTAAAGTTATTTAAACAAAAACAAAGCAAACAAAAAAGACAAAACACCAGACCACTCAACTCTTTTTGTTTGTTTGTTTTTATTTTCCTCAAACAGGGTCTCACTGTGTAGCTCTCCCTGGCTACCCTGGAACTCAGTGGCCTCAAACTCACAAAGGGCCACCTGCCACTGCCCCCCAAATGCTGAGACTAAAGGCCTTCACCACATGAACAGCTATTCAAACTCTGTTTGTAAAAAGATCCCCTAGGTGAATTTTGTTCTTTTTCACATTACTTCTCTTCTTCAAGTTTCTGATAACCATCTTGTTTTAAGATAATTTTAAAGGAAAAAAAATAAGCAGGGAGACCAAAGACCCAAAGGTTGAGTTCTATAGTAACAACACATAAACAAGGGAAAACAAATAAAAAGGCCTGATCATGAAATGCTAGGCGTGGCTCCCCAGGAAGAGGCTCTCTGTTGTCCTCACAACAGACTACCCATGTCCCATGTCTCATGTGAACTACAGGACCGTGGAAGCCTGACAACAGGTTCTTGCAGAGATGGCTCAGTGGTTAAGAGCTCTGTCAGCTCTTCCAGAGGTCCTGACCCAGCGACCACATGTACATGTAGATAAAACACTCATATAAATATATAATAAATAAATAAATATTTAAAATCCTGACAGGTGATATAAGCAAACTACATTCAGACTGGAAACTGTTCCCAAGATAAATTCTTCCACCTAGGTTTGGAGTATTAGAAAAAAGATGGATCCAACACAGAAGCAGAAGCATGGCCCAATCTTAGACTAGGGAAGAGGAAGGACATTCAGACATTACTTACAGACGCGTGGCTGCTTCAGTCGAGGTCTCGTCCCCTTCAATCCTGTACACTTTCCCGTACATTACATACTCAAACTGGTCAGCCCTACAAACGACACACCAAGTTATTCACAGTGTAAGAAAACTTTAAAAAAGGAAACTGATAACAAGAAGCACCTTACTTAGCTCCCACAGAGATTCTGTGACTGTCTGTGTTTTACTGATGTAGAAATGAAAGCAGTAGAGCTGAGAATTAAAAACTAACTGTAGTTCCACAGCCTTTTGGCCTTTGAGACGGGGTCTCTCTATGTAGTGTTGGCTACCCTAACTGGCTACATAAAAAAACAGGCTGGCCTCCAACTCACAGATACTCCTGCCTCTGCCTCCTGAGTGCTGGGATTAAGGAGTAGGCCGCCAGAACTACTAGTCTACAGTTGTTGCTGTTTTTTTTTGGCTGGGGGGTTGGCTTTTCAAGACAGGGTTTCTTTCCGTAGCCTTGACTGTCTTGGTACTCACGTTTTAGAGCAGGCTGGCCTCAAACTCTCAGAGATCCAACTGCCTCTGCCTCCCTTAGTAGTCTTCCTATTACATCAAACTCCTTCCCAAAATCTAGGTTACTATGTAATCATTTCCTCAGCCCTAAAAAAAGCTTCATCTGGCCAGGTGTGGTTGTGCATGCCTTTAATCCCAGCACTGAGGCAGAGGCAGGCAGATCTTTGTGAGTTGGAGGTCAGCCTGATCTACAGTTCCAGGACAGCCAGGGTTGTTCCACAGAGGAACCCTGTCTCAAAAAAAGATAAATAAATAAAACCAAAAACTACATCTGCAAGGTATGGTGGTACATACCTTAATTCTAGCACTAAAGAGGTAGACGAAGTAGTTGTGTCTGTGAATTCCAGGCCAGTCTGAGCTATATAGCTGAGGCCAAAGAGGACTACATAAATAAATAAACAGCTGCATCTCGAAAGCTTAGTCACTGCTCTCAGTAGGTAATAAAGCTAGTTTGATTTTTTTTTCTTTTCTTTTTCTTTTTTTTTTTAAAGCGATGGGGTCTCCTGTAACCCAGGCTGGCCTCAGACTTGAACTCCTGATCCTCCTCCTTCATCTCCTGGAATTACATCACACCCAGTTCTGGCTGTCTGAATTCTAAGTGCAGCAGTGTCTTTAAGGTTATTCAGATTCCGCTGATGACAATCATTCATTCCTAGAATTAAAGATCTTTCTATAGCTGGGCAGCAGTGGTGGTGGTGGTAGTGCACACCTTTAATCCCAGCACTCAGGAAATAGAGGCAGGCAGATCTGAGTTCAAGGCCAGCCTAGTCTACAGAGTCAGAATAGCCATGACTACACAGAGAAACCCTCTTGGAAAATCAAAAACAAAACAAACGACAACAAAATAAGCCCAACCTTTTATATACTTACATTTTATTATACACATATATAATAAAAATAGATAATACAGTACATAAAAAGTATTTTATATATATAATAAAAATATGTATATATATATGTATATTTCATATACTATATGGTTAGTTTATCTTAGTTCCTCTTCTACTGCTGCCTCACCTGGAAGGCCTGTCATCTGTGGGGTTGTATTCCCCATCATCCAAGGTACCATCTTCATACAAGGTACTAGCTATGACCAACCGGAACTTGTCACCTGAAAAAAACAGCGACATCCGAGTGAAGAAACGGGAAATCAAAGGCCAAAAACCTCTTGCTACTGCCTGTGTTCAATACTTACCTAAGTCTACAGGGTAAATCTGAATGTTTACATCTAATATGAGGTCCATCTTGAAAGATTCACTCTCACAGTGCAGCCGAGACACTGGGGAAGAGTGAGAGACATAATTACAAAGCCCAGGGATAACAGCTTGGGTGATCAAATCATCTGACAGACCCACCCCCCACAAGCCTCTGCCAGCGTCAAAGGAGCACAAACACAATCAGAATCAGAATCGGACTCACACGAAGGAAGGTAAAAACCCCAGCAGGTGACATGATCTCAAGAAAGCAGCAAAACTTGCAGCAGCCAGCCTCGTGGCTCTAAGCACGCGTGCACGATTTAGACTAAACTTAAACTCTGGACAAGAAATCCACTTGTCCGGAGACTCCCTCTTCCTGGTAGGCACTGCGCTGAAGGATCAGCGAGGTGTATTGAGGACCGACATCTCTCTTAAAAGAAAACATCTGCCTCCAGGCAAAGTGACACCAAGAAGAAACAACTTCCGGATCATTGTGGAAATGAATACACCCAGCAGTCGGCTGAATGAAATTCAGAGGGGACTTAGAAAAGAACGAACAGTTCTTAGAGCAATACAAAGTTATGGGTTAGGAAGGCGGGGAGGTACCTCTCTGCATGACCTTAGGTAACAAAACAGGGAAGGCACCATCCACCCCTTAGAAGCATAAAGTCAGGAGTGCGAAGAGGGGCGCACGGTACAGCACGGAATACCGAGCAGGGAGTTAGGTTTCCAGGGGCACATCAGCCCCAAAGGTAAGGGCCACCCAGGCGCCTGACGTCGCAAACGTAGTACGAAAGGCTGTCTCAAGTTTCTCATTCAAGAACTGTTTCCTGAGGGAGGTGCTGAGAGGGTGGGACGGGCCACTTGGGGTGGGTGGGCATGTTGGCCTCTTCCCTCACACCGCCCCTACACACCTCACCTCGGTCAAATTTCTTGCCTTCTGGGTCAATGTCCTTCACATCGAAAATATCCTCGAACAGGATGCCCGCCATCGTGAGGGGCACGAGAGCTGCAGAGGCGCCGGGCGCGCGACCACCACTGGGAATCCACGCACCCCCTCACGTGGAGGAGAGAAGACAGCGCAGAGGGCCGCCCTACGAGCGGCTGCGAGGCGGAGGGCGCATGCGCACGGCCTGCGGCGACGCGGCCACTTCCGCCGCCTCCCTCTCGGGGCTCCTTAACTTCCGCCGGGAAGGGCCACCTCGGAGCCGCTCGGGCCTGGTGGGCGAGTCTCAGAGCCCCGGTGACTCCGCCCAGGGCGGGGACACGCTGAGTCCCGACTCCGGCGGGTACCGCGCTGCGCCCGCCTCGCCGGCGCCCTCTTCAGACCCCGGATCCCGCAGCGTGGAGAGCTTGGGGGCCTCACCCAACCAGGAACCTTGATCCTTGGCCCAGAGAAGCCCGGCCCTGGCCCTTCCCTGCGGCCGAGGGCACAGTCCGTGCTGCGGGCGGGTGAAGCAGGACCCCGCCCGCAGAGCGCCGGCCCAACGGGACGTAGTGTCCAGCCCCACGGACAGCCACCGAGGTCCCCTCCGCCGCTCCGAGCTGGCTCTGACCAGCTAGACGTCACCCGAGCCGGGTCCCTCCGGTTTGGGAATTTGCCATGATGTCACTCTCAGGGAAAGGAAAGCCCGCTTTGTGCCCTTCCCTGGGGCTTCACCTCCTCGCCTCTCCCGTCTTCGCTTGGCACTAGCCTCACACTGATCCCCTAGAACGCTCCCAGTTGAACTTGGTACTGCCTGTCACCCCACTATACTACCCTCTTCTGGACACTGACCTAGCGCGCCTTCACCGGATGTTGGCCTTTCGCTGGGAGGCGACGGCTCTTAAAATGCCGTCTTTCTAGGTACTACCTCCTCTCATTACAGCCCGGTGCTGGGCATCGTACCTTACCCTGGAGCCTCTGTTTCCTAAGGGAGTCTTCATCCTGGCACCATTCTTTTTGCACAGATTTCTGGACACTGTCCTCTCCAGTGGCACCAACCTAACACCCTTCATCCTCTCTGTGCCCTCGCCACCCTCTTCTTATCCCTCCAAGGACCCCAAAAGTCAATGTGGAGCCCCAGTAAGCTGTTCCCTCCAGACGTCAGCAGCAACTCAAATTCCCCCTGAAGCGGTGCCTGGGAGAAGCGACCTCTGCTCCCCGACAGACACACACCCGCCTCCTAGGAGCCGCCTCCCCCGCACCAATAGCTCCCTTCTCCCGGGCCTCACCCCTTCCCGTCCCCTCCCACCTCCACCTCCGCCCCTCTCTCCAAGCCTAGCCGTTCCAGGTGCACCTTCCCGGGAAACCCGGGGGAAAGGAAAGAAAGGGAGGCAGGCTCGCAGGGATCCTCCCAGAGCCTTCTGAGCCGCCTGAGAGCAGCGAAGCAGGGGCTAGCCCTGTCGGGTCTGGCCTAAAGAGCCCAAATAAGCAGCCCCCCTGCCCTAGAGGTAACCCTAGAGTCGTTACATCTCCAGCCCCTCCCGCACAACGCTGCAGCCACGCACGGTAGAGAGCCCGTCCCCTCCACGTGCCAGCGGACCCGCCCCCGCCCGGCCCTAGCACCCTCACCGGGCTCGGTCAACAGCCCGGCCTCCTCGGCGAAGGGGTGCAGGACCGCCTTGCAAGCGCCCCCTGCCGCCTCTCCGGAGACCAGGAGGCGGCTCCGATGCAGACCCCAGCGGGACCGGGACGCCCCTACAGATGGGCCGGGGCGGAGCAGCAAGCAGGGTACCGCCCTCGGCCCGCCCGCCGAGGAGGGGACGCTAGCCCGAGGCTGAGCCTGCGGCGCGCTCTCGGGGACCCGTCGCACTCTGCACTCGGCCGCCCGGGCTGAGGGGACCGGACGGGTGCGGGCGCGGGCTCAGCGGGCCGGGAGCAGAGTCAAGGCCAGAGCCCGAGAAGCAAAGGGAGGCAAGAGGACAGTGCGCCGAGATGGCGGCCACAGCGGCCGCGGCGGCGGCAGCGGCGGGGGAAGGGATGGAGCCTCGAGCGCTGCAGTATGAGCAGACCCTGGTAAGTGAAACCCCAGGGGCGCGCTACGGAACCATTGCTGCAGGTTGCCCTAGAAAGTGTGAGGACGGGCGGCCTACCCCAGCCCGGCCCTCAGCCTTCCTCAGCTCTGGAAACTGAGGTTCGGGATCCGACAAGCTGTAGGTTCGGGGTGTTGGAAAGCTGCTTACTGGTTTCTGGCTGAGGCTGGTGGCCTGCAGAGGACAATGACACCAGGTGCTTGGCCCAGGTTGTCCTTCCTCTTACTCCCTTCAGCATACACGTTTTTGTTTTTTTGGGTTTTTTTTCTCTTAACACTCGAGCCCAAGTGACAGCACCCCAGTGCCCTTTCCGAGCACCATGCAAACCACTGAACTTTCTCACGTCTACCTACATTCAACACCCTTCCTGTGTCCCTACTATGTGCATAGTACTAAGCTCAGCCTAAAGAAGGTAGGCAAGGGATCAAAGCAAACCCACCCGCTGTCTTTAATGGCTCAAAGTCCAGCATTGACAGGAACTCCTCAGCTGAGCCTTTGGGGGAAAGGTGGCTTAGGTGGCTTGCCACCCTGGGGACTAAAGCCTGAGGGCTGATGCAGGAAGCAGGAATGGGTGTGAGAATTGGACGAACCTTTGTTCTAGCTGGATCTAGCCAGGTACCCCAGTACGACACCCACGCCCACAGAGTGGCCCTTGACCTCATAAGAAGCAGGGGTCCTGAGCTTTGAGATGACTCGCAGCTACCAACGTTGAGAAGCCATTCACCCTCTTTGTCACTAGGGTGGGGGGCCCAAGCCCTAAGGAAAGAAACGGGCCCTATGGCTCCTTTTTATCAGCTTAGGCTGGAATTTGCCCGGGAGGGTGGCAGGGAGGAACCTCTGAAGGAGAGGGCCTGGGCTGTAACTGAGTCAGAGAGGTGCCCAATTACCAGAGACTGAGTGAAACAGGATAACTGGGAGAGGTGGTAGGTGTGAGGCTAGAGTGACGCTAGCAGGGGCAAGCCCTTTTGTTGCAGATGGCTGCTCTCCTTGCCATCCACAGGTCAAGGAGAGGGGCATTTGGCCATGGAAGCCAGGCAGCTAACCTCTGAAATGGCATCTCTTTTACACTGGCTGCCGCTCCATCTCCCTTGTGTCTGGGGAATGAGTTCTCAGGGTCAAGCCCTCCCTGCTCTGGCCTCTCCCACTTCCCCTCCTACCCTTTTGTCTTGCCCTCACCTCCTCCCACATACTGTGTTTCTGTACTCCGCTCTCTTCCTCCTCCCTGCTCTCAGTACTCTTTCCTTGACATTCCTCTTCCTCTCTCTTTCCTCTGCAGTTCCTCTCCCTTCTGTATCTTTATCTTCCCCACCACTGCCACCAACCCCAACCCCAACAGGAGCCCTTTGTGTCCTGAAGCTCTGCGGGTGGCAGCCAGAATCTACTCCTCCCCACCCCCCAACACACGCCCAGCTTGGCAGGTCCAGCCAGAACTCTCTCCCTTCCCATCAGCCTGGTATCCAACGGGCACAGCCTTGCCATCTCCAGCCTCTGCCATCCCTCGGACCTGTCACTGGCACCAAGTGCAGTTCCAGAGCAGTACTGAGGCCACCCAACACTGCCTACCCACCCAAAGAGGCTTTCCACTTTCAGCTGGGCTGACAGGCTGATGGGGGTTTGGGAGTGGAGAATGAGGACAAGGGGATTAGGGTGGGTGGGAAGGGTGCAGCAGAATTGGTCACAGGCCAAAGGCCCAGCAGGAACGTGATAAGGATTGAGGCTGGGACCTCCTAGGCCCCGCTCAGCTGCCCTCAGCTCCACCAGGCTCTTATTGTTGCTCATATGCCCTTGACCATCCCTTATTCTCTGACCTTCCCTCCTCCCACTTCAGATTGCCTTAGGTTTTTCCATCCTCTGGACCCTTCCCTCCTTCTCCTCCCCAGTGCCCTTACTCCTGGCTTGCTAGAAGAGGACTGATTATTCTGCCACCCCCAGAACTGTGTCCCTGTACCTTGTCTGTCCCCATCATTCTGGCCAGGACAGCCCCCGCAGTCTGCAATGTGCATTGTTCCCACACTCTGAGCCTGAGTATAAACTGGATTCATGATGGGGTATACAGTGTGGGAGCTGAGTGAGGTGGGGGGGGTCAAGACCCAGTAATCCTCCCCGTATCCCCACCTCAGCCACACACGCTAATGCCACAGTTTGTTCATTGCTCCAGATGTATGGCCGGTACACTCAGGAACTTGGGGCCTTTGCCAAAGAGGAAGCTGCTCGGATTCGCCTGGGAGGGCCTGAGCCCTGGAAGGGCTCCCCTTCTGCCCGTGCTTCCCCAGAATTCCTGGAATATGGACAGAGCCGATGTGCCAGATGCCAAAGTGAGATCTGGATTGGGACAGGGACCTGGCTGTTCTATATTGAGGGAGACAGACCATTAGAGCTGCCCATGGGGAATGGGGAGAAGCAGAGAACAGGATAGGAACACTTTGGTACCGGCTTCTCTATGGTTCTTCCCTTCCTTGTTTTCAGTTTGTTCTGTACGCTGCCATAAGTTCCTAGTGTCCAGGGTTGGTGAAGACTGGATCTTCCTGGTCCTTTTGGGGCTCCTCATGGCATTGGTCAGTTGGGCCATGGACTATGCCATTGCTGTCTGTCTACAGGGTGAGGGCAAAGGCTGGGGAGGGCCGACCTGCTTCCTGCATGCCACAGTTGTTTAGGTAATTTGGCTACTGGCCACTTTCTCTGGCCAGTATAAGTGCCCATTTCCAGACATAATGATTGCCACTTGCACAATCCACACCTTCCTACCATCCCTCCACAACTGTCTTATCTGTGATGGGCCTTATCCCAGTGAGTGCTCTCTAGGGCCTGCCCTTCCCTCTGCCCCAGCTCTGTGCACTTGTCATATCATTGTGTCCCAGCGGCGGCGAGGTGTGGGCATGTGCCCTGGAAGTTCAACAAGCATGTCTTCTACTCGCAGCTCAACAGTGGATGTCCCGGGGCTTAAACACCAACATCTTACTCCAGTACTTGGCTTGGGTTACCTATCCTGTGGTCCTCATCACTTTCTCTGCTGGATTCACCCAGATCCTGGCTCCACAGGCTGTCGGTAGGATAGGAGGAGCTGAGGGAGGCTCAAGCTTCTGAGTGGGGTCTATCAGACAACTGACCTGGGCATGTACCTCTTCACAGGATCTGGCATCCCTGAGATGAAAACCATCCTCCGTGGAGTGGTGCTGAAAGAATACCTCACCCTCAAGACCTTTGTAGCTAAGGTCATTGGGCTAACCTGTGCCTTGGGCAGTGGGATGCCCCTTGGCAAAGAGGTAATTGCAGGTTAGGGAATGAAAGATCCCTCCCGTTGAAGAGAAGGCCAGCCGACGCCTGGAAGGTCCCATCCCTACTCACTACCAACCCCTACCTCCAGGGCCCCTTTGTGCACATTGCCAGCATGTGCGCCGCTCTTCTCAGCAAGTTCCTGTCCCTCTTTGGGGGTATCTATGAGGTAAGAGGAGAACCCTGAGACCTGGGGGAGGAGACAGTGGGCTGCTGAGTCCAAGCTGACACTGTGTCCCCACCCTTGCCAGAACGAGTCCCGGAACACAGAGATGCTAGCCGCTGCCTGTGCAGTAGGAGTGGGCTGCTGCTTTGCAGCGCCTATAGGAGGTAGGTGGGTCTCCAGTCAGCGCAGCCTAGCCTCTCCTCCCCCTCCTCCTCCTCCTCCTCCTCCTCCTCCTCCTCCTCCTCCTCCTCAATCTAGAGGAGGTAGGTGGGTCTCCAGTCAGGCCCTACATCTGGCCTCTCCTCCTCCTCAACCCCTCTTCCCCTGGGAGTAAGTCAATAGGTCAGACCCTGGCCTCAAGGGCGATGTCCTCTGCCCCTTGCAGGGGTCCTATTCAGCATTGAGGTCACCTCCACCTTCTTCGCTGTTA